ATCGGGGAAGGTATAAAAGATGGTGCAAGTTAGCCATGAACTTTGGATCTGTGAGTTCATACATGTATGTGGGAGTGTATGTGTCTATCTGCCCCATGCTGAGGCTGATGTTGCATTCTTGATGCTTCTTCACCGCAGTTGGGCTAAACCAACTTACACTTAAACTAGGTCTTTTTAAGCTGGATAAATTTCATTCCGCTTTATTTGGTTTGTTCTGCCTCCCTGAATAATGTTCTATTAACTGGCCACGTTGCTTACACTAATTGCGCTTATCTTCGGTAATTTTGTTGAGTTTGTAGCATTTTAAGTAACTTGTGGACATTTCTTACTTATCACGGATTTGTTGCTGACCAACTTACTTCATATGGTAATTTAGCGAAGAGTTATGCCACCGTATCTGTATGCATTATTGGATTTATTTTATTTCAGCCTGTCGTTTAAATTGAATGGCTGTTGTTTGATATCCCTGGTATGGTTGCGCTTGATGTGTATGTTGACAAGGTGCCTACCTGTCTATTACCCACTACATCGTTTATACTGGCTCCAGGAGACAGTTGGTCGTTGCTGGAGGGGACGGGGTGTACGGTTCTTGTGGCCGTGCTAGGCTCAAAGAGCGGTTCCATGCACTCAGTGTGGAGCGGACTACGGTCCAGCCACCGCCTTGTGTGCGGTTGATTCCCCAAATACAGCGTGTTTGTGTTTGCCTGTGAAGGAGTGTGGGCCGGCTCCGTTGATGAAACGTGGTTCCCATCCGCATGCCTCCCGGTCTTATTCCTTCGGGTTTACACTGGATATGGGGTATGAGGTTGGAGCTGTGGGTGGTGCAGCGCAAGCCATCCATGGTCCCTCTGTAGGCGCAGGCGTCCTGTGGCTTGCCACAGTGACAGGCAAATCCGAAACCGGATGCCGCCAACCATGTGTCTATCTGCTATACGAGTTTGAATATGTGACACTGCAATTGCGATTGATTACGTGGATAGGATGAGAAGGGTTGGACGACGTCCATGGTGGGAGAGTGGTTGATTAGATAATCATGGGGCAGTGACTTTAGTTAGAGGCGAGTCGCAGTGCTGTTAAACAGACATACGTGGCTTTTTGCAGGGAGAACGCTTGCCAGGCGAAAACCTCAGACTAGCACGGAATTTCGACCTGAGAAGTTTGCGAGTCTTATTGTGTTCGCTTCCAGCCGGAATATGTTGGCGAGCACCAAAAAGTCCCAGGCTGCATAAAAACCCAACGAGCAGGTTCGCAAATTGATTTGTCACATGAAGAGATGTCTGCTGCAAATAACGTCTGATGGATATGCGACAAGCGGACCTCCATTGTGTTCAAAGAGCGCCCACTCAGGTCAATGTCAATGTACTTTGGTACGAAGTCAGAACATCTGGCTCCGCCAGCTGGTAAGTAAATATGCGCGCACAGCACCAATACGGACGTCCGCCGAAACGCATCAGCAGATTGGCGCAAACGGGTGCACGGTTAGAGTCCACGCTCGTGTTCCAAATCGAGCGGCAGCTTTGGGCGCAGCCTCCCAAACGGTAACTGGTCGCAATGTGATCGATTTGCGTGCCTGACTGGTTTGGGGGGCTGGGGCCATGTCACTCTACTGCGGGTGCTGTGTCGGAAGTTAGTGTTCGCGAAAAATAGAAGAGCATCTTCACATAGGTATAACAATCGCTCCCCGTTATCACTACGGGAGACTACACTATGTTGGTCGCCCATATGAAGCTCATCAGAGGACAATTTTCCTACTTGAGCGTCCGGATAGCCAGCAAACACAGTATCCGTACCTTATCTGAGACGAAGGAGCGTTTTCAATTGATGATAAAAGTTGCCTTTCACCAGGACAGATACTGTGAGCTCATTGGCAATACGTCGCGCACCAAGCAGAAGTCATGTATTAAAAATTGCGCACCTAATCGTCAGCCCTCGGTAGCTCAGTGGTAGAGCGGCGGACCGGAAATTCGTTGGACCGGGGTTCGATTCCCCGTCGAGGCACATTATTGTGTGTGAATTTTAATCGTGATTTCTACTTTCTAAGAACGTTACACTACTCACGAACATCCACAATTAGTTAACAAAATTCCTCCTACTCATTAGTAACTATGATTCTATGAAGGTAATGCATGTATCCACCTTACGGCCGATGAAGACGCTGATGGCCAGTATTTCGAAGGCTGTTTGCACACAGTCTGCAGACATTAAGCAGATGTGGCGCATACACTGATTGTCTCTTGAACAGCCGTGCAACGATCGATTGGGACATGTAGTGAGCGTCAACAACGTCTAAAATATGATCTCGCCGACACTCCGGGGACACATGAAATGCGAACAGCACTTGCTCAGTTGCGAAGTGGTAAGTGTGCATGTGCTGATGGAATGCTGCCAGGAGTAGAGAATGGCGGACCCTCAAGGTTGCATTAAATGTAACACTTGCTAGAGCGCAGTTGGAGTGAAGAGCGATTCACTGCTGGAATTAAGGATGCCTTGTGCTGTCAATGTGTAAGAGTAAAGAAAATGAGCAATGTGCCACCAATTATTGTGGCATTAGGTTGATAAGTTGAGTCGGGAAAAGGAGTGTCCGGATTCTGCCCAAGCATCTGGTTGCCCACACATTTTAACCGAACATTGCGGAGTAACAATGTGGATTCAGTTTAAGCCGAAGGACAATAGATATGGCGTTCGAGGCTAGTCAAATGCAGGAGCGCAGTCAATAAAATTAGCCATTGCACTCTCTGTTTATCGGCTTCATCAAGGTATTTGACACAGTAAAACACGAGGTACCCTGACTGATGCTGAGTAAGTTTGGTTACCCAGATAAACCTTTTAGTCGTATATTCACGAACGAGGATGCGACGGTGTGGACAAACCTCGAATGACTTGGATGTTGTTTCTTATGTGAAGCTGTGTCTTAATCCATGCTCTGTTTGACAGTTACCTAACTGTCAGGATGTTTATTGCTTGCAAAGCCTCTGAATACAGTGGTCGCCTCTAGCACCGTATCGACGGTGGCTTGCTAAACATCAACAGTTTCGTGGTGAGAATCCGAGTGCGTGAGACAACTATCCGGGTGATGTTATTTGCCGACAACTGCACAGAGGGAGGATGGGTTGCAACGTATGAAGACGGCTTTCGCTTCCACTGCGACAAAGTCTGGACACACCATAAACACAGGTAAGACTATCGGTCTTTCCCATCCATCAACGGGGGCGGCATCAGTGGGCTGCTCGCAAATAAAATTTGCTGGCGCATTGCTGGGGACCCACTAAAATTGTGCTAACTCAGGATCAGGCTGGAAAGAGACTCGCAGATGACCAGTGAGCTGCGCGCCCGCGTATTGACCGCATGTGTGGCTTTCGGAAAGCTGGAACATCGGGTGTGAAAAAACTATCAGCTGACAGTTGAAACCAAGCTGACGGTATACAACCAATGGTGTTGTCGGTCCTATGCTACTTAAGCAAAACGTGAACACTGTAAAGAAAAAGAATTCGATATCTGGAACGATTTTACCGGTAATGCCTGTGCCGGATTCTGCGCAACTGTTGGTATGGCAGAGTCCGTGAAAGATAAGTTCTATGATGGGACACTACTTAAGGCGACTCGGTCATGTCCGACGTATGGATGCAACAAGAATACCGAACCACTTCTATATGGTCAGCTTAGTCCATGGAGGCGGAACGTGGGCAAACTGAAGCTACGTTACAAAGACATGACTAAGATGAATTTATCGCGAACTAATATTGATCTTAGATGTCGGGAGGTAATGACAGTGGATCGACGCTAATGGCGTGACTACATCGCCCAGCTGCATCAGAGAGGACTGTCTCACCAGGAAGGGAAACGCCGGTTACGCAGGTGTCAGATGTCAATGCAGTCCGGTCCGTCGATATCATGCAGCTAATACTGTAACTCATGCGCTCCAGGCGAATCAGCCTGGCTAGTCGAAAAAGTGGTCCCAAGCGACCAATATCGAAGAGATGACGAGTAGGTTGAATGGGTAAGTGCCACCGCATGGTAAGTTCTCTGCTTCCGAATCCGTCTACTAACTCAGAGCAGAAAGTGGTTCAATCCAGTGTGGAAAGGGCCACAGACCAGCCATCACTCTGTGTACATCTGGTATGGATGAAAGTGCACAAATCGGAGAACAGATCAAAACATACACAGACAACCCGAGTTACAAGTATTCCGATTTGTTACATCTGGTATGTATGTTTCCCTATGTTCAAATGAATGATGTGCACGTTGAAGTAATGTGGGCCGGCTCCGTAGCAATCGTGGCTCCCATCCACATGTCTCTCGGTTTGATTCCTTCGGGTTTACACTGGAAATGGAGTGTGCGGATGGAGCAGTGGGTGATGCAGCGCAGGCTACTCATGGTCTGTAGGTGCAGGTGTCATGGGGTTGTTGGTAGTCAGTGACAAATGAATCTGGGTACGGATGCCGCCGGCCATCCGGTCAGGAGAAACGGCGGTAAACAGAGAACACCGAGAAAAATCAGTTGACATACATACAAAAGATGTTGATAAAAACCGGTTGATGTACATTAGCATTCATAGCTCGACGATATCTTAGATATGAACAATCTATCGCACATACAGGTGAAGCCTCAATGCACGGACAAAACCGTTGGTGGGGAATGGTCACACTACATCGGTGCAAGTTGGTGGCTGAGATTCTGTTGTAGTACATCACAAAAGCTCGAAGGAGGACAGGAACTATCATATTCTGCATAACAGCAACAAGCAGAGTAATGGCGAATAGGATAAGCTACATCCCAACCCGCTGCTTTGTTGAATAGTCTACGGGTAGCTGCCACGACTGAGCGATCTCGGTTTCGCATTTGGCGGAGGGAATGGGCACTCTTGAGAGATCACAAGAACGCAACACCAACAGTGGGGGATGGCTGTCTGCACAGATGGTAAATTAAGAATATTCGAAAACCCTGCAATTTGCTATAGAACAGCAAATGTTCAAAATAGTTTGTGAGCTAAAGGACTTACCGTGACCGTGATCAAGTCAACACCGTTGATTACTATGTGAAACCGAAACTTATAGAGGCGATAGTCTGGTTGAAGAAGTGGTGATGACCTTGCGATCTCGGTTGTCTGGTCAGTATCCACCTCGCTGAGAGGCCAGTTGAATTCTACCACTTGATCCGAGGCTGTGGGTAAGAGTGGCTCTAGTTCGTAGTATATAGCCACCACGCTACCCTTTTCCACATCCGGAGCCCGAAGACTGAATGGTTCACATGGCATCAGATTACGTATTGGAACACGGCCAAACGCAGTGTGCAGGCAGCAGGAGCATGGAGAACTGGAAGAAGACTGGGATAATTGTAGTGGTATGGGGTTTTCCGGTGGAGAAAGTAGGGATGCGCAGCAGGACCCTGCATCCATAACTGTGATTGTGGATTCAACAGATGCGCTATCTCCCAAACGACGTGTTGAACGACGTAGCTGTCGTTGACGTTTCCAATAAACTCGGTGGCGATGCGAAACCAGAAGGGCAGCTGCAGTGCCGACTGGAACGACCCAACTTTGTCCTCGAGAAACCAGCTCAGGGAGTGCAAAACTACGGGAACAAAGATAAACCTGGTTATCTAACAAAAAATTTAATTACCGTTGATAAATTCTGAGGAATTTGGGTGGACAAAATGTGATCAATAACAAGTGTCGTCAAATGATGTGTTTAATCTCAAAATATAAAGAGCGGAACGATAATCAATACGTTAATGTCCAAGAGCGACAATTGGTGCAGCTACACAGAGTATGCTCTACTCGCTGCTTCTAATCAGTATCAGTATCAGTATGCGGGGCAAACGACTGGGTCGCACAGACACTCCTACACATAAGAGAGGGACTACATAGCGAAATCCTTCAATAGCATGCAAGATGGAGCGAGACAATGGCATTTATTCCTACGTATTGAAACAAGAAGTGGCAAATATCGAAGGAGTGTAGAACATGGTTATCTACAAACACATCGTGGACTGCTAATAGAAAGACTGCCAACAGAAAGTGGTCACCATGAAGGTGCACCAACTCTATTGAACGAACAGTAACAGTGTGGTTAGCAGACTGGAACACAGTAATTATGAAAAGGCACTTTCGATCCCAGTTGTTGGATATTGCGAACAGACAAGAGTAAAATAACAATTTGTGTCCTCGTCAGTAATCAGGCACATGGAGCATGTATACCAGCGCCTAAATGCTGTAATTGAAGCCAGCGAATAGTACAATGTGAGAGTGAAGAGAACACAATTTTATTAAAAAGGCAGACTAGTGATCTACCGGCTGCGCACCACGACAAGAGGGCTAAAACAGTAAGCCAATGGTAGACCCGAGTACGACTTTCTGGCCGTCCGTAGTACGACGGTGGGCAAGGGTGGAGAAGACAGCGCAGTTCTTCGAGGTTCGTGGATGACCCGAGGTAGTACATGTAAACTAAACAAATGGTCTAAAAATTAAGCCAACAGCCTAAGAAAAACGCCAACAAGCTCACTTAACTCATTCAACTGGCACAGGAACCGTGGTGAGGCTGGATCTTAAAGTGGTGCGATGCCTTGTGTACCTCAGTGATAAATTGAGCTATGCTAGGTAGTGCTTTTTTGCACCTTCAGAGCCACTCATACCAGATTGGTCAATGGTTAGAGGCCAGACAAACTCAACCTACTGGTGCTCAAGGTTGGGGGTTGGAATGAGGATGGCTTCTTAATCCTTAAAACGGACTCCTAATAGCCCAACGCCAAACCCGTTGTCTTGCAGTCAGGTTCATGAACCAAAGGCTTTGGTTGGGAACCCTAATCGTTCTCTTGTCTAGGCATGGGCAACCTGACAGTATCCTGCCCACGCAATACAATGAACCGTTCATCAAACAATTTCTTGATTCTCTGGCCACCGCAGAGAATAATCAACGGTGCCTTATCCGCTGCATCGAGAAGGGTTCATAGGGGTTTGGATGCTACCGCTCAAGCCTTCCCGTCTTCTTATTCCCTCTCTTACATTTTTTCACCCTTGTCGTCCCGTTCCAGCTTCACTTGTATTTCCCCTGTTTTCAACCCCCAATTCTTGGCCCTCCCCCACCTTGCTTCAATAGTCCTCTAGTTTCAACTCACATGTGAACGCGGAACGTCATTCCTGTCCTGTCAACACGACCATGTCCAAGCAAGCGGTCAAGCCCAGTTCATCGGCTTCCATTTGGAGCCCTCGATCCTCCTTCCGACTGGCATGCATCAATGTTCGCACATTGCTTTAGATCGGTCAACAGGTAACACTGGCCTAAACATTAGAGACCCTCTCGATCGATCTCTGCTGCTTATCGGCTGGCTCGTTCAAATCTGCGAAGTCGCGTGGGACTAATAGGTGTCTATTCGTTATCACTGCCTATGCACCTACAAACGCTAGCAATGACTAATGTAAAAGAAGACTTCCATCCTCAACTGACCGAGCTCCTTCGCCACCGAAGTAGCTCGGACACTGTAGTGCTGGCTGGGGATCTGAACGCTCAAGTTGGGAAATTATTCACTGATGAACTGCATCTGGGCGGCCAACATGGTGTACGCTCCCGTAATGATAACGTAGAGTGGTTACTTCATTTGTGTGAGGATGCTCGCTTATTTCTTGAGAGCACTAATTTCCGACACAGCACCCGCCGGAGGGTGACTTGGCGCCCTCCAGCCTCGAATCATCCATGGACGCAATTCGATCACATTACGATAACTTACCGATGGAGAGGCAGCATTCAGAACTGTCGTTCGATTTGGAGCACATGTATAGACACTGACCATGCACTTGTATGTGCTGACCTACGAATGCGTTTGGCGGACGCCCACGACAACGTTGTAACCGCATTGACATCAGCCAACTGTTCTGAATAACTATCAAAGTACGCTGTCATGCGAGTTGAATAAACGCTCACTGAATGTAATTGAAGCTCACTGATCTCATATTCATCAGACTTTACTAGCAACAGGTAAAGCCTCATGTGGTAAGTCTAATCGCCAACATGGACATTAGGTCTAGTCGCAGTCTCTGGAAGTTATCGATGCTCGCGGGCATGTTTCGGCCTGAAGCGAACAAAATGAAACTCGCAAAGAGCTCCGGGCAAAACTACGTGCTAGACTGAAGAGAGACCGCGAATCCTGGTGGTCTCGTCGTGATTCAGAGGTGGAAATGGCCGCTGCCCTTCGTTACCATCGTAAGTTACTCCGCACGATACAGGAAACGGGTAGCAGGAGACCTGGGGTTAGTGAAGCTATGCGTGATGAGGGTGGACAAACTATCCACAACTTGTCAAAACGCTTGGAGCGTTGGGCTGAGTATTTTGAAAAGCAATTTAATCGGTCAGAATTGTTACGTTTCTCGCCGGCCACTGATCGCCCAGCTCACTGGGTTGTCCGTTTGGATCCACCCTCTCCCTCAGAAGTCGACGTGAGCTCGCACTGTTGGAGTTAAATGAAGTCGCGGGACCAGGTGACCTTCTTCAAGCCCTCTTCAAATTCGGGGGACCTGCTCTTGTGGATGATTTACACGAGCTACTATTGAAACTGTGGGAGCAGGAAACTGTCCTAATTGATTGGAGCGGCTCCATCACAGTCCTAATTTTTCAAGGGAGGCTCACGATCGAAATGCGGTAACTATAGAGCAATCAGTCTGATCTCCATCGCCTCCAAATCGCTTGCCTCTGTCATCCTTCACAGACTGACGGACATTCGTGAAAGCCAGATTCGTGAAGAGCAAGCCGGGTTACATTGAGGTCGTAGCTGCATTGACCATATCACTTTGCGTCAATGGTTGGAGCACCGTCACATGTATTGGCGGCGCACCGTTGTTGTGTTCCTCGATATTAAAGTTGCATTCGATTCGGTGGATAGACGTGCACTTTGGGATGCCTGCTGTCACCCTTCCTGTTCAACTTCGCTATTGATGAAGTCATGGAAATCGCGTTCACAGAACACGACTTAGAAGGTGAGGATCTGCTCCCAGGAGAACGACTTCTTGACTTAGAGTAGACTGATGATATTGCCCTAATCTGTGACAGCTCACAAGCGTGCGAAGCGGTACTGGACAGATTAGCACTGGCTGTCCGCCACTTCGGGCTTTGCTTCGCACCGTCGAAGTGCAAAGCGTTCCTCCAAGATTGGTCTGGAGCGCCTCCTAGGCTGACTCTTGGTAGGGATCAGCTAGAAGTCGTTCAAAAACTCAACTACCTAGGAAGTTGTATCAGCCCCCGTGGGATTGAAGATGACATCACGAACTGTCTAGGAAAAGCTCGGGACGCTTTTGCTACCTTCGCCACTTATGGCGCCGGCCTCGACATCAATCTTGCCCTGAAGGGTATAGTGTACAATGCAGCAGTACGTTCGACCCTACTGTACGGTTGTGAAACCTGGCCGCTTAAAGCAGCGGACCTGAAGAGGCTAGTTGCGTTCGACCACCGGTGCCTTCGCAATTTAGCTCACATCTGGTGGGAACACCGAGTTAGCGACGAGCGTGTTCGACGCCTTGTTTACGGCACAGGAAAAGGAAATGAATCGCTCAGCACCGTCATTTCACGCACCAGTCTCCGATGGCTCGGTCACGTGTTACGCATGTCAGCCCACCGACTTCGCGACGTGCGTTGTTTGCGCGCCGGAGGTGTGGATGGAAGAAGAGGAGGGGTGGCCAAGCGATGACTTGGTTGAGAGGAATGAAGGCCCTCACATCGGAACTGGCCTCAGTTGGAGCGTCTCAGTTCCTCGGTTGGTGTCCGAAAGACGATGAACACGTTTGGCTGGATACACTTGTTGATATGGCTAGGAGCCGACCTCAGTGTCGTTCGTGCTGTGAGTTTCTTTGTCCCACCCCATCCCTCTTAGCCTCCCTCTCCAACCATGATCTCACTATTTAGCGTTATCTAAATTTGAATGGTATTTTTTTGCTGCATACTAGCCGGCTGGTAGCTTACCGGAACGATGCCTATCGGTTACCGGTAGCTCAGCTGGCTTGCACCTGGTGTATGTTTTCTCTATCTTTTCTTCTATGAATTGAGGCACAATAGCTGAGGTGTTCCCCACTTCTAGCTAACGTGTAGTATGATGATGATAAAAAAGATAAAAATGTCACGGAAAACCGGTGCGTGTAGGAAAATGGAAGCGAGAACGACAGAGGATACAAATAAGAATCCAAGTTGGGATGACAGCCACACAGAGAAAATATTTACCTGGGCAACGGCTGCAGTACGTTGTTAGGGAGCAATGTGAGTCCGATGCGTAGGTCACCACTCCAACCGGGTTGAGTTTCTAGTATCGATAAAGCCACTAGCTCCCCAGGCTTTATGAATCCATCCGAGAGTAAGACGCCATCGCAGAATCCAAGCTGCCGGCGTGCTATTGTGCCGTTTTCGGTGACAACCACGTAACGCCCTTTAGTTGAAGTATCAAACTTGTGACCAGCCATTGGAAGAGCATTCGAAAGAATCGCAGGTTTCCTGAAAGTAGGAGATTCAACAATATATGGCGAAAATTTGAACAGCGGGTTGGAATCTTAAAAGATGATGGTGATTTTGCCATTACCAAATCAGACAGCCACAGAAAAAATTCGTCCCACGATAAGCACGATAGCGCCAACCTTGCAGTGGAATTGTAGCCCCGGTAAAAATATGTAAAACAGTACAACGATGGGGACGTGAGAGAAGACGGAAAAATTACTCCACTGGAATCAAAGGAAATGCAGTCACACGTAGATTGGTGTCGGTTGCGTGCGACAACAAATGATGTACAAACGAATGACGCAAGGACGCGTACACGTTAACAAAAGTCACGGATGAAGCCATAAGCCAGCCTAACAGATACCAAATTAGTTGGCCTGTTAATTTATCTACTGTTGATTAGACCTCGGATCAATGATAGAATGCCGTGGTCAATTATCAGGAAATAAAGAGTAAATGATGCATATGATGTTAATCGGGAGGTTTGAAGATAACAGTCATGGCTCTGAACGACTCAAAACAGTGCACCAGGATACTAGGAAAGAGTAGATAGATAGTAGCCAATTCACAAGAAAAGTTGGATCTAATGACACATACTGCAGCCCAGCAGTACAAGTTTTACTATTGATCGCTTTACTGCTTCCTGCCCTAAGGCCATTGCCTACATTCGGCTCCGAACTCATCGAACAAATGGCGAAACCGACCTCCACATTGTGGATTTTTGCGTAGTGCAGAAAACTCGGAGAGCTCGATAGAGGCGAATTCTTCTTCTCCCAGGACCCCAAGCGTAAATACTGGAATACATGTGATACTTGTGAACGTACGCAGTCTCAGAAACAAGCTAGATGAGATTTGACTCCTTATTTCAGAGCAGCGACCGGAGATAATGGCGTTCACTGAGACTTGGCTGTCATCAGACATGTCGGACTCAGAGGTTCAAATCCCAGTTTATCAGCTCTTTCGACCTGATCGCTCCAGTCGAAGATCTGGAGCAATCCTCTAGTCCAAATCTTACCCCAAAGTGAACGTTCCTAAAACGGACTGCGACAACGACGATTCGTCAGAAGTACTCTGGTGTCGAATTCAGGATGACTTCCAGTCGCTGACGGTCGGAGTAGTCTACAGATCCCCATCAATATCCGGCTCCTACCTCTTGCACTCAGTGAGAAATAATGCAAAGGGCACGAACTGTTTGCTTATGGGGAATTGCAATGCGCCTGGAATCAACTGGGCTCTACTTCATAGTGATCTTCCCACGGAGTCCTTTGAAGCTGGCCTACTAGACACAATCCCCGAAGGTAACCTCACGCAGCACGTCCTAATACCAACACGGATGTTTCCAGGCCAAACATCTCACATTCTGGACTGGTGCTTTCTCTGGCCCCAACTGACGTCTACGATCTAACGATCCTCCATCCGCTAGGCAAGAGTGACCACTCTGTCACCTCCTTCCAGTGGACACGATGCCTTACAATTCATGACCAGGGGTCACTTCGTTTTAACTTCTGGAGAGCCGACCAGTTCAGACTTAAAGCAGCCGCAAGCATCATGGATTGGGATATTCCGCAGTCTTTGGATCTAGACGGTGCATGGCAGCTACTACGATCCAATATGATGCTGCTCATCGAACAACACGTTCCAAATTGTAAAGTCGGGACTTACTCTAAAGGCCCGCTTGGATTGATAGAGAAATCAGATCCATAATGAAAAAACGACGGAAACTGTGGGGTCATCACAAGATCATACAACTAGCATCGAGGTGCTCAGAGTAAAAGGCTGTAAGGAACCTTTGCACCCTGAGAAAGCGCAACAAGCGGCTCCAGTACGAACACAGCCTGGCCACGGAATCTCTAACTTGTCCCAAGAAACTTTTCGCATACCTGAAAAGAAATATCAAGGCGAGTAGTGGGATCCCCACGCTACTCTCTGAAGAAGGCACTGTGCTTTACGATGACGAGGAAAAACCAATAGATTAGCTTCGCAGTACTCTTCGCCCTACTCAGTGGAACTCCCTCTGCACAGAAACTCTACCTGCAAACTGTCCCACCTTTGATCAAATCGAAAGCAACGCTGAGGTGATGATGAAGCTCCTTCTCGAACTGGATTTGAACTCCTCTCCTGGCCCAGATGAGCTGTATCCCTTATTCTTTAAGCCTATAGCCGAAAACATCGCTGATCCACTCTGCCAAATATTTCGCCACTCCCTCGAAGTCGGCCGTTTACCCACTGACTGGAAAGAAGGCACTGTGATGCCCAAGTACAAGGGCGGAGACCACCAAGATCCGGCGAACTATCGCCCAATCTGCCTGACATCCGTCGTCTGCAAGAGCATGGAACGAATTCTTAAATGCGCGCTCCAGTTACACTGAGAACTAGGACGTAATTTCTCCATACCAACATGGTTTCCGGAAAACACGTTACTGCGTCTCAAATTTGCTACTCGCCAGAGAAACTTGGGCACAAGTCATAGATGGCCAAAAACATATAGATGTAGTCTTCATCGACTTCAGCAGAGTCTTTGACAAAATTCCTCACTAAAGGCTGCTGCTCAAACTTCAGGAGATCGGTGTGACGGGCAAAGTTCTCTCATGGATCACTGACTTCCTAAAAGACCACAGTCTACGCATAAAGGTCAATCAAAGCAAATCCGCCCCTGTACCAATGACAAGTGGAGTTCCACAAGGATCTGTATTTGGACCAGAACTTTCCAAAATGTACTTAAATGACCTCCCGGTTGCGTTCCAAACCGACCGCTTGATCTACACTGATGATCTTAAACTCTTGTCAACAGTATGTAGCCAAGACGATGCTGATAAATTACGAGGCTCTAGATAGGCTGCACGAGTGGTCTGTCAAGTGTCGATTACCTGTAAATCGCGATAAATGTGCGATTCTCCCAATCGGTAAAACTGACTCAGACGGCCCATATCACATTCGTGGATTTCTTCACAAGAAGACCACAAGAAAAGGATCTCAGGGTCATTGTATCCTATAACCTTAGGACGTCACAGGACACACTGAAGGTCGCAGCTGCAAAGAGACTTCTAGGTGCCTTGAGAAGGTCGTTCTCCATAATGACTCCTGAGATCTTCCGACATCTATTTACCGCATGCGTTAGTCCCATACGAGAATATGAGCAGCCGACCATATTTCCCTTTAAGTTTGAGTGCTCTTTGATAGAGAACGTCCAGAGGCGTGCCTCGAAAGCTGTCATCGGGCTCTGCGATCTTCCTTAGCCTCTCCGACTTCTCCAGCTGAACCTGTTTCCCATGGAGTTCCGCCGTCGCTGCAGTGATCTCATTCATCATCATAATTATTATATACGTCAGCTAGAGGTGGGAAACATCTCAGCTATTGTGCCGCAATACATAAAACAAAAAAGAAGATAAATACAACAGTTGCATGCCAGCTCAGTTACCAGCAACGGATGGGCATCGTTCCGGTAAGCTACCAGCCAGGTATTAGGCAACAAGAAAAATATTTATGTAAAATTAAATCACGCCATGAAATAATATGGTGGTTGGAAAGGGAAGCTAAGAGGAATGGGGAGGGATAAAGAAACTCACAGCACGAACGACACTGAGGTCGGCTCCTTGCCATATCAACAAGTGTATCCAGCCAAACGTGTTCATCGTCTTTCGGACCCCAACCAAAGAGCCGTGACGCTCCAACCGAGGTTAGCTCCGAAGTGAGTGCCTTCATTCCTCTCAACCAAGTCATCGCTTGGCCACCCCTCCTCTTCTTCCATCCACACCTCCGGCGCGCAAACAACGCACGTCGCGGAAGTCGGTGGGCTGACATGCGTAACACGTGGCCGAGCCATCGGAGACTGGTGCGTGAAATGACGGTGCTGAGCGATTCATTTCCTTTTCCTGTGCCGTAAACAAGGCGTCGAACACGCTCGTCGCTAACTCGGTGTTCCCACCGCGTCCATCTTGGTGAACTCGGAAACGAGTTACTGCAGTTCTTCCATCCTAACGCCGACTGCTCGACACGAGGTTACAAATGGAAGCTGTTCAAACCACGAAGGCCCAACGCTAGCTCAGACCTCATCTTTTCCACCCGCGTGGTGAATGAGTGGAACAGTTTGCCAAAGGAAATTGTTGACGCAACCTCGGAGGAATGTTTCAAGAGGCTTTTAGGCTAACACTTAATGAATACGCCGGGATCCTGCTGCTCCCGCTGCAACTGCGAAGATCTCTCGAGGAACGTCACCACACCACGACATGTAGCTATCCCACATTAAATAGGAAGCGACGGAAATGACAAGGGTTCTCCCCTCTGCTCTCTACAACCCAATGAACCAATGAGCCCGTCTGCTCGATAAGTTACTGCGCTGTTCGTTTCGTCCATCCCTGTCTTCTTGTGGCACCTCGAATATCGTCCATTGTTCTAGACTTCACCTAGGTACTGATATTGGTACTCGATTAGGTACCCTAATCAGGACTGATATTCACTAATTCCATAATGGAGGCCCTGTGTAAGTAGGATATATTGCACAAGCCTGGGCGTGTAACAATACGAATCCCGGATACATAGTTAGGAGGAGCCCTTAAGGAATGGATCAGTGAACCCAAATGGACCAAAATATAACTCCTTTCCAGAAATCCAGTAGATTAATCGCAATAGCCGGTGAAAAGAATGTTCTCGGACAATCTTAGTAATAAGAACAGAAGAGAACCAGAAACGTTCAAAAGGGTCAGCAAAAACTAAAAGAATGGAAGTCTGTGCCATTGTATGTATATCGTGCTTGGCGGCTATCACACTGCATGTGCGACCAAGACTTTGTGTTCGACCAATCGGGGCGAACAGGCTTTCTCGAAAAACCGATCAGAGCGGTCGGTGCGACCTTGGTGACCATAACAAACAGTCGAAAATCCGATGGGTCGCTGGCTGCATCTGTTCAGTGCAGTAATTCAGTTTTTGAAACAGCACCGAAATGCGAGGGAACTAACCTTCCTGACAAGCGGTGCCAGATTAATAACAATAATGATGATGATA